AACATAATGTCCTGTTTGATAAATTCTGTGGCTTCTTCAATTATACTGTTGATTTTGGGTGCTGCTTTATTTGCTCATTTCTTAATCTGTCCTTTTTCTTTGTTTACATCTTTTTGACTCTTTTCTAGTCTATCTGCACATAGCCACTATGACTGGCAATCTGAAGAAGAACGCCACCAACTACTGCAGTTGCTGTAAGCTTTCCAAAATTCTGTAACAAATATCCTATATGCCAGCCAGTCACATGCCTCCCCCATTAAATCTGGGTGGTGGCTGAGTATTTTCTACCATTGGTCCTGAATTGTGGCCTCTCAATTCCACCAGTGGTGTTTTCTTGCAGTTCAGTGAAACCCAACACTTCCTGAGAGTAATTACTTTCATAGTCTTAGGAGGGGAGTTCCGGGTAGCCAGGAAACCCCCAGAACTCTGTATTGGGGTGTTCCCCAACCATGCTCATTTCCCCTGCACCTTAAATGCTGCTCTAAGCTGAGGTAACAGACTACCATAGTTTATTTTTTCCTCCTCCTCCTCTCACATTTCTACTTTCTAGCTGTACATTCCTTAGCAAATCAGTTAACTTCTCGGAGCTTTAATTTATTTATAAGGATTTTGTGGGAATTAACAACCAGCTATGATCACTTTCTTTAGTTCCTGCAACTCCTATGCACAAAATACACCTGAAGTATGCCATACAAAAGTAATCAGAGATACAGGGAGCTGCATGAATAACAACCAGAGGGACATGAGAGCGTTTGGAATTAGGTGAAAAGGCATGTCTTGAGGGCGGCCTTATTGCCAACAGGCTTTTTGCACTTGAAGCATATACATTTCCCTAAAGCAGGTTTCTCTAACAAAGATATGAAACTGTGAATGCATGAACGTAAAATCAGGTACAAGGCCTTGGAAGAAGCCTACAGGTTTAAGTCTGATGAAAAATCCACTTCTGGTTGGAGCCGACAGCTTATGAGAAAGGAAAAAAAGGTGCTGAGAGGGAAATAACGTTTGCTTAAATGGACCAAAATGAGAGTCCAGTATGAAAAATATTACTTCAGCTTGGCGCCTGTGGCTCAAGTG